GAACCGCTCACTCCCCCCTGAGCCTCATTTCACCACCCTGAGCCCTGTGGGCCACTCTCTGCTCCCCCAATTGCCCATTGTCTAACCTCCTCCAGCCTTGTGGGCTACTCACAGCCCATTGAGGGGTGGCAGAACTTGGTGTTAAATTCCAACATGGCTCCCAGTTACCTCCTTGCCCCATCCAGCACCTTCCTGTGCCCATGGTAGCCCTTGGTGGTGGGGGGTGTCATGCTCTGGAGTGCCCCCCTTTCCTGCCCTGTGGCAATGCCAATGTGTGCAGAAGGAATCATGCCAGGCACTCAGTCCCCAACCTCCATGTGCCCATGGCAGACCTGGGACCTATTCTGAACCAGCCCCCCACCCTATAATAAGCCCCAGCTCTGACAAACAAACCCATCTCCCGTGCTCTGCCCGGGCAGCCACTAGTCCCAAACTCTTGGTGGATGCATTTCTCAGTCTCTGTAAGTGGGGGTGGGGGAGAGGTGGGATACAGGGAAGAGTTCCAAGCTTGCTTGTTGTGAGCTGCGTTGGCTACTTTTTTACTTGTCAGGGCATTCCAAGTTGCTGGCAGCTTGTTGCTTTCTTTGGTTTTTTTTGGAGGGGAAAGGGGGAAGTAAGGGAGGGCAAGAGGTTTAAGAGTGAGGGTCAACGGTCCCAGACGGCACACCAGGGATCCAGTCACACAGAGCATTGGCAAGTTTCAGAGGTGTAGCCGTGTTATTCTATTTCAGCAAAACCAACTAATCCTGTGGCACTTTCCAGACTAACCAATTTATTAGGGCATAAGCTTTTGTGGGCTCCTGCCCTAATAAATTGTCTAGTCTTTTAGGTGCCACAGGACACCTTGTTGATAGAGCACTGAGGTTTGTTTTACGGATCAGCTTATTTTGACCTTCTAAAACAGGATGAGCTTGGCTTTTTGCTTATTGTGAAAGCCTGGGTGCTCATTGACAGCATGAAAGTTGGCAAGTAGCACTTAAATGTCCCCCAGGAGGAATGATCAAATGCAAGCTAGTACAAAGTATTGATCTTCCTAGCATGGCTCTTCCCAATCCCCTCCCCACCACCCTCCCAGCCCCAGCCTCTCCTCCGCTTTTTCCAGCCCTCCCCATCCTCCTCACCTCCTGCAGCCCCTCTGGCCTCCTTTTCCAGCCCTCCCCACCTCCTGCAGCCCCTCTGGCCACCCTTTCCAGCCCTCTCCATCTCCTGCAGCCAGGCAGCACTCACTCCACCTTCTCCTTTCCTCTGCTCCCTCCTTCCACTTGTCCTGCCCTCCCTCACCTTCCCTACAGGGAAGCTGGTAAGGAAGAGCCAGGGCTCTGTTTACTTCCAAGTGCCCCCTTGTGGATGAACAAGAGAAACTCCCTGTGCAATGGTGCTGTCCTCTTGGCCTCAGGCTACTAGCGAGACAAGGTGTGTGAGTTAATATCTTTTCTTGGACCAACATTGGTCAGAGACAAGCTTTCCAGCTTACACTGGGCTCTTCCTCAGGGCAAAACAACACAACAGCTGGTAGAAGAACAGTTATTAGCTCGCCCATTTTGTTTCAATAACAGAAATTCTATCTCTGTAGTTCCACGATTGCCTGTTGAAAATTCTGGCATGCAGTCTGTCCCCCATGTTCACTGCCTGCAAAAAGGAGCCATGTGGGGCTCCAAGGAGAAGGAGGCTAAGCTAAGCTCTGACAACATGAGACTTGAAACCATGCAAGCAATAATCATATTCACAGTTATTGCTAGTTGGACTGTTTTTAATAAACAGTGTGTCCCAGCCTGTGTTATCTCTACTCTACCTCTGTGTGCATGTTTTATAGCAGTGTTTCTCAACCAGTGGTACAAGTACCCTTAGGGGTACTTGAGAGAAGTCTGGGGGGTACATCAACACAACTGAAATTTGGAGAAAACTGAATTTTTGTTTTAAGTTTTACAGCGCTTTATTATTTTTGTACTTTTTACACCCAAAAATGTCATTTTTTGGAGACCATGCTACCTCCTGCAAGTGATAATGGTGCTTAAATAGACATATTTCCTGTTTGCATGAGCTCTACTCCAGCATGTGCTGAAACACTGCTATGTTGGGGC